GTTTAAGTAAAGTAATTTAACTCAGAACAAGTGTAGGCTACCCATCACTCACTCATTAAAACACTCCCCCAACAATGCCTCCCACTCACTAAATAAACTACATGCTGTATTATCATTAATTGCACAAGTTAATTGGCTCTTGGTCGTGAAATCCAGCGTCAGTTTTTTTTTATCTATACACCGAGTAGAAAGCGAGTTAATGAAGCACAATTTTATGTCAATGGTTTTCTGTTATTAGTATACTGTAAGTGTAATTTCCGACACACACACAAACATAAAAAGTATTGCAAAGAAAAAACAAAATTAAAATAACTACCCGATGTGTGTGTGTACGTACTGACAACACCAGGCCATCCACTTACCTCTCCCTCTACCTAGTGTCACCCCGCTCCAGTGTACCTCTACCAAAGCGGCTATAGGAAAAATACCACCTTAACCTAACCAAGTATTATAGACCGCCCCCTTTCCTCCCATTACTTTTCCAGGAGCTGTGCGACGTGTGGGCGGACGTGGCGGGTGAGGGTGATGGATGGAGGTGGTGGGTTGTGGGGGAGAGTGGTGGGTGAAGGTGATGAGTGGAGGTGGTAGGTTGTGGGGGAGAGTGGTGGGTGAGGGTGATGGATGGAGGTGGTGGGTTGTGGGGGAGAGTGGTGGGTGAAGGTGATGGGTGAGGTCAGCGTTCTTCACTCACCACAATTTGGTGAACTTTGTACACAAAACAAACTCGTCAGCTAAGATGCCTCCGTTCTTTTTTCTAAAGTGCTTAAGTCATGGTAATTTAGGTAAAATTTTAGTTTCGCTCATCCCTTTAATTAGATATTCAAACTACGTTTTTCTAACCTAACCTAACGTAACCTAAACTAACCTTAGGAACTATATTTAACCTAAATTCCTATGATTCCCCACATGACCAAAACTGAAATAATACAGTAATTAAATGCAAGTTATGTGTATACTATAAGAAAAACGTTGCCAGGAGGATTTTATTCCGAGCCAGATTGAAAACTAACTCGTAAGATTTCTTCAGTCACAATCATCACAGATTTTTACTTTACAGAGATGATGATAATGATGATGGTAGGTCTTATATGAAGTTAACGTATCTACTGTGTTCATCCAGAAAGTTACGTTGTAGGCAGCTATCAAACAGGGAGGTACTGCCGTCTGGGAAGATATTGGAAGCATAATGTGTTGTCTAATGGTAGACCCTGCTGCCATATGTGACCAAGTCCCGGGTTGCTTTTCTGACTTTCTGCCTCATTTACACACAATTGCAGGGTCTCATAACTATTTTTATTTATAATATTTTCGCCCCCCGGGTGTTGAAGTCGTTCATTAAAGAAGACCTGTGACCGGGTGGGGTAATGCCCGTAAAAAAATATATATGTATATATATTTTCCTACGTGTAAACATGGATGGAGACACCAACTCAAGTGTCAGTTATACTTACTCTTATCACCACATCTTGTAATTGTTCTAAGGCGACGTCACACTAGCATTTCTTGCACTAATTTTCCTAATGACACACACCTGTCTGTCACTCGGCGTCTTCAACTGTGAACAAGGAGAGGAACACAACTCAAACATATCAGATACTTTTAGGAATATTAAACTTCAATAAAAAAAGGACCGCATAACAGTTTATTATTAATTTACGATTTCTCTTTAAACTCTTTACTATGAATCCTCCAAAGTTTCTTTTGACTCTTTTTAATGACTTTTGCTGCTTGGTGTCTGTTTTTAATATATTCCCTAACACTACGATTATTCTTATTTGCTAAGCACCTTCTCCATGCACACGCCTTGTTTTTAGGTGCTTTGTCAACCACTTTGTCAACCACTTTGTTGGACTAGTGTATCATTAACCTTGGTACGCGTTTAAAGACCTGCATTGTTGAAGTGCAATAATAACAGTATAAAAACATCGAGAAACACTCAAAGAATATAAAATAAGGAAATATAACTCCTTTAAAGTCATTACTGTATTTTATTTTTAATGCATTGCCACAGCGAGACCGTGATGGCAGAACGATTTATTATCCCAAGAAAACGTGTATAAATGAGGGCAAACTATGCTGTTTATTGAGCTAAATATTTTTAGCTTCAATGAAGAGGCTCTCTTGAACATCACAGAATATGTATGGTATAAAATAGTTTAATTGAACTAAATTGACTGTATAAACCATTACTAAAGCAGATATTGATAGGTGTTTTATGAAACTTACATTATAAGTAATGATTGGGCATCAAACGGAAATATTTATTGTTTTAAGTCTTGTTCCTTGGAACAACAAACTTACTGCAGTTTCCTTCACTCTTGTGTTCTTATGTCTGTCGTCAAAATGATATAAATTTACATAATACACTTCATTCGATCTCTTTATCTTTCCTTTAGTTATCAAACAAAGACTAACCAAATGACAGACAACGATACAAGAGGATATGGGTAATACTCAAGGTAACGATAATACTTTGTGAATGATGAGCGCCTAGGCACAGTTATGTTAGTGGTGAGTGACCTCGAGATGTGAGCTCTGACCCCTTTACACTGCCATATCACACATTACCTCTAGTCATGTCACATTAACTATACCCTTGTCACATATTAACAGGATGATAAAATAAGAAATATATCAAAATTAAATAAATAGTTAATATATTCTGTACCTTTTCAGTCATAATTGGGTTTTATTTCAAATATATAACCAGAGTCAATGTTTAAATTCATTTCCAATATTTCTCAGCATCTTCCTGTAAAGTCCTATAAATTACCTCCTTTATTTCTGTATGAATTTTTAACAATATTATATCAATAGAATCAAATTTATGTTAACGTAATATTTGTCACCACATGAAACCTCTCAACCAATACTATGAATGTTCATTGAGTAATGCTGACTTTGCTGTTGTAACACAAGCTCTTCCTACCTCAGGTGTTGTTTCTGGTGATGATCGTGGTGGTGGGAGTGATGGGCAAGGCCGTGCATCACCGCCCTACTGGCAGCCCTTACCACCCTACCACTTACAAGCCCCACTATGAGCCCACGCCCATCTACACCCCATCATATACGCCAAAGCCTACATATACTCCGGCCTATACACCCAAACCCACCTATGCACCACGACCAACCTACTCCCCTTACAAGCCTGAACCACTCTACAAGCCCGTCTATACTCCTAAACCTGTCTACAAGCCGGAGCCCGTCTACACGCCCGAGCCTGTCTACACTCCTAAGCCCGTCTACACACCCTCGTACAAGCCTGCCCCAGTATACCATGATGGAGTAAGTAGTCTGTGCTGAATACGTTTTCTTATTTAATATACTTTTTCATCTTCTTTACTATTTATTTCATGTTTTCTTCATTGTTTTCTTTTACGGTATTGCCCTTCCTTCTTTTCTAGATACATAACATTATTATTAGCTTAACTTTTGTTCCTTTTATTGTTATTATCGTTATGTTTATTACCATTGCTGTACTGTACTTTGTTATTGACTATCATTTTAACTATTATTATTATCATCATGTAATATTTGCCCCATCATCATGTTCTTCTTAAGCAATCTTCCTTGCCTTCTCCTTCCCCCTTTGCTTGTATACATGAGATACCCCTAAAGATTTCCTTATTTCACCTGGACTCTATTTTCAGATGATATACTTAAATAAAAACATTTATTACTTTCTCTTTCAGGATTTACTAATACATTTTTATTTAGCACAGATTATAAGCATCTTATACTCATCGTTGGTAAGTGTAAACATACTTAATGGTAAAAGTACTGTACTCGACTTCTTATATTGCTCGTAAAATATCCACAAATAGTTCATAGTTCTCAAGTAATTAGTTTCATCTTTATAACTATTTACATACTGTATACTGGGAGGATATAGTTTTCATGCACTAACTGTTTACTTCTTTTTAATGGAATACAACGCATTTATAAAAGTAAAAAGTGAAACATTTTGTGAATGTCCTCTCTCTCTCTCTCTCTCTCTCCAGCACCTTCTTCAGTTTTCATAATTATCCTTATAGAAAACACTCCAGGCACTGCTTTCTATACTGAGAATTACTACAACTTTTCCACTAAACACTGCCACTTTATAAACCTTGAGTTGTTGTAATTCTCCCTACAGAAGCAACTCTCTCTCTGAAGGCTTGCACCAACTCCCTCACCCACACATGCACCTCTAAAGCTACACTTCACCTAGCACTTATCTTCTACCCTGCTATTACCAATGTCTAAATGAGCATCAATAATATGTTACTAAATATTCTGTCTCCTATAATTAACTGTAACTCTTAAGTACCGTACCTGCTGGAATTATTGCCTCACACCGCTGTGGTTAAACTGTTGCTTAATACCTCCTGGACGGCTATCATGCATTCATCTATACTTAGACTATGTAAGTGCAGCTGATAACTTTAAAAATATATTACTAGTAGCAGGATCTTTTTTATTACAGGTATAGTATTTGAAAAGCTGAATGGCTGAACAGTTGCATCCAAAATACAGTACAGTATTATAGCCTCTTTAACAAGTGTTCTCTACTCTTCAAATTAATCATATACTCTCAACATAACAAGACTTGCTCTCCCTCAGCCTACAAAATACGATTTTGGGTATGGTGTGGCTGACAACTACCACGGCACAAACTTTGGTCACTCAGAAAAGCGAGAGGGCTACCGGACTGAAGGCCAGTACTTTGTGGATCTCCCCGACGGTCGCCGCATGATTGTCAAGTATTACTCTGATGAGACCGGCTATCACCCCACAATCACTTACGAAGGAACGCCGACCTACCCAGAGCACAAGCCAGTATACAAGCCAAGACCCACTTATAAGCCTGAACCAAGCTACAGACATGAACCTGTGTACAAGCCTAGACCAACCTACCATCCTGCAGCGCACCATGAACCTCTCTATGGATCACATTATTAAGAAATTATTATTTTTAACTTGTCAACTCTACTAGCCTAGTCTCTCATAACAGTGAAAGATAATAATTATTTAACAATAGAGTTTAGTAACAGTGACAAATGAACACATTCATATCTAACTAAAATAACCCTGGGAGTTGTGACCCTGCCTCACCAGCTGTTCCTACCCTGTGGGGCGGAGTTAAGAAGGGCATCCAGCCATAAAACTTTGCTTCAACATGCATGCACCCATCCCCTGGTCCCAGCTGTATTTTCTGGGTTGACGAACTGGGTTTGTGAAGGTGAGTGGGGATGGGGGGGGGGGGGACATCCCATTCTTGCTTTACCTAACAATTGCAATCAGGTGATCATGGCTGACCCACACAAGGGTGAAATATGACCATAAACAATGATGATAATATATGTTTTAAATATAATATTGTATTTATTTCTCAGAAAAATCTGATGTAACATTTCTTACATAAAGTGACCACTATTTATATTCTACATTCCTCTAATAAGTTCATTAACCCCTGACTTTCAATCCACACATACTGTATTGATAAGAGTGATTAAACTATCAAAGGTTCATTCATTAATCTTCTGGTATCTGTGCAAAAAGGCTCAAATGTCTGATTAATAGTTTATATCCTACTAAAGTCATCCTTCATATATATGTGAATGTTTAATTTATTGTGTGAACTTAAGGACCAGAGAAGCTTCCCTTGTCTACATCAAAGTGTGCAAGTAAATTAAATTTCAAAACCAAATTTGTTAATCCTGTGCCTAATTTTACTAAAAACTTACTTCTGCTAAGTTTCTTGTTTAAATCGAATTTTGGCCTTTAAAAAATATCTATACGTAACAGTTTCATTGCTGAGCTGAATATTCTTCACAATATCAAACTTTGAGAGATATTTACCAGTACAGTATCTCTGCTGCATGATAACACTCATGCTGCCATACACAATAAACTGTCTAACCCCCTTAACTACAGGAACACCAATTTTAATACAGTACCCCTGTATATTATTTGGCTAACACCAGACAATTTCATTCATGTCAGAGGGAAGCCCATACACAAGGGGTTATCATCTTATTATTGTAATTGCCATGGAAGAATGTCTGAGTTACAATTAAATAATTTAAAGTTTCATGTCAAAAGATAGGTTGGATGCTGATAGGAACAACAGTACAGTCTGTTTTACTAACACACTAATTTAACTATCCAACTAATATATTGTACACTACTGTATTAGTATTTGAATCATAACAATAAAGTAGGACTCTGGTAGGGTGTGTATGGTACAGTATATATAACAAAGTCTGAAAGTCTCTGTAATAAAGCAAATCCATATTGTGTCAAGTCTATTTATTTCATCTAAAGTAATGAGAATCACAAACTCAATTATATTTAGTACAGGTATATTATATTTCTTCAGGAAAGGTGAACTACACAACACAACTCTCGACAAAATATAACTCTTACTCAGAGGTGTTTATCACAATCACATCTAATCTTCCAGGTGAACAAGAGTGGCAGTTTACATACAAACAGACAAGCAAATAATCTCTATACTGTACTATCACATATACAACTACAGTTCTGTACTATCTACTGGTTACTACAGCACTGTAATCCTCGTGGCTATGTATTTTACAAATCTTTGATACAAATCTTATATGAAAACTGACAACAATACAATTACTGTACAGTATCCATAAATTAACTGAAATTCTTTGTAAATTAGCTGATACTCTGCTTAAAATTTTTTAACGTAAATATGCATAAAATCAGAAGCATATGTGCACAGTTACAGACACAGCTGGTGGACACTGTAAACAAAATCAAAGTGCAAGTAATATACAAAGCAAAATAAAAATAGAGAAAGGTCACGTTAAATAAGTGGAATCATGGTATTTAAATACTGTAAATGGTAACCAGGTACTCTATCTAATAAGTGGTATCATGATACTTCTAAATAATTGACATCAAGGTGTCTAAAGTGGTATCATGGTACATCTAAATAAGTGGTATCAAGGACAAGGTATCTAAATAAGTGGTATCATGACACTTCTAAATAAGTGGTATTGTATTATGGTATATCCTCTGTAGTTGAGATTTTCACCCAACCTTCACTATGAGAGAGGAGAGTGTTAGCACGGAAGGTGGCCAAGGCCCCTACACACGAGACAAATATCATAAGGGGCATCATAGAAGACCATCCAAGCCATGCTGTCACCAAAGACACGAGCGGGCCCTCCAGCACAGTACCCAGGGACCCCATACCATTCACTACCCCCGTCACTGCCGACGCTGCGCCTCCTTCACGCTCGCCAATGTCAGAAGATACCGAGCCACACAGAAGAATGTCGGGGCCGCAGTTGAAAGCACCAGCAAGAGCCAGGAATATTACATGGAAAATTGGGCCCCAAGACACTGTGACCATAAATCCTAAAAGAACTAGAGCAGATCCAGAAATAGCTAAAGCACTTGCTAGTATGGCTCGACCCCCCATCCAACGATCCACCACTATGCCAACCAATGCACTCCCTACTGCACCGCCTATTTCAAAAGCGGTGGATGCCAAGCCAGCATTGACTTGTGAGTAATTAAGTGAACGTAGGAAATAGAGAGGGAGCCAAAACATGAGAGCATAACGTACAAACTTGACACAGAACATGGCTAAGGACACCTCTGGAACAAGACTTATTCTCCATACTGAATACATGGACATACCTTGTGGGCTCTTTTTGTTGTGTGGCTTCTGCTCATTAACTATCCGACCTGGCACTACCAAGCCCCTTTCATCTGGGTTTCTACCTAATATTAACACCATAACTCCCAAGATGACTACTATCACAGCTGGAGGCACAAATACACCACGCCAACCATAAACAGCCTGTAGGTATACTGTCAGACCTGTAGCAGCCATTCCACAAGCAAAGATACAAGTGCCAAATAATCCAAACACTGAATTTCGTGAGGCATCCGAAAACCAGCAGGCCAAGAGAGAACAGCATGCTGGCCAACACAGTGCTTGGCTGGCTCCACTGAAAGCCAATAGCACAAGGAAGGAGGTAAAGGACTGGCATACAGTCATGGGAGCTGTAGCAGCAGCAGCAAGAATCAGACCTCCTGCTAGGGTTATACGTGACCCTATGCGGTCACCTAGAGACCCAAGAGTTAGGGAGATTCCAGCGTATGGTAACAGCAGTGCTGAATCCAACCAGCCAAGGTTGGCTGAACTTACATTGAATGCAACCTCTAAGTCTGCCTTGATCACCCCAAGTGGCTTTCGCAGAAAGTATGTTGAACCATAAGCCAACCACAATAGTCCAAACACCACAGACTGCCAGAACTTTAAATGAAACCCACCCATTTTCATTATGAGGATGTGCAGTACTGTATCTACTTATGTTAATAGGTAATTAGTCTTCATTTATAACAATCATACATTCAACTTGAGACAAAAATTTCTAAATTTCTTCTGAAACTGCAACAATACAAAGTCACATACGTAGACGAACTCATCACATGAATGACTCCGCTTCATAACAAGCTTCATGAAGGCATGCGAAAATTCTGGTCATAAAGAGCCGTAAGAACTCCTTTGGTGACACTGCTGGTGAGTGTGGGAGTGGTGTCGTTGTGTGTTGTTAAGTAAGGGTCACGGGGGTAGACAAGTACTGGCTGGTGAGATGGACTTCCTTCATACCCACTATCATCACATCTGCAAAACAAGAAATAAAATACAGTATTCAACAAAACTGTGAAACTATATTACCCAGCTGGAATATGAATCCATAAATTATCATACATGTCCAGATATCAGTCACATACAGTATACTAGCAAACTTATCTCCATGAGAAAAGAAATGAAAATGATGTACAGTAACAGAGCAGCAGCAGCCATTTTTCTATTTTTGTTGTTAGAATTCAATAAATGCAATAAAAGGCCGTATATTTTCAATCGTTTTTTTTGTTGCATATGTGTACTACTTACAAATAATACAACAATGAATAAATCTAAAGTTCACTTAAAATTTATTTTATTGTGTGTATCCTATAAACTCCAATTACGTAAACAATGGTGTTAAATGGTAAAAATAAAGACAAGATTGAGCCACGGAGGGGGGAATTGCTTTCAATTTACGCGTCTCTCATTTACACAACCACCTTCAAGAACGTAGCTATGGCTTAAACCAAGAAGCCGCTGTTATCTTAGTCTCAACACTGGTGGTTACTGCTAGCTGATGTCATAAAGGTGGTATAAATATGATGATAACTCAGTCATCCAAATATCATCATCATCGCCGCCATTAACGTTTTATGGTCATTATCCACACTTGTGTGGGTGAGCAGTAGTAATTATGACAGCTATTGGGTAAATCAAAACCGTGATGTCCCCTACCACTGCTCACCACCACACACCCAGAGTGCCAGGGGATGGATACAGCTCATTTCACTTGAAGATTAGACACCCCAGCTCATTTCACTTGAAGACTACACACCCCAGCTCATTTCACTTGAAGATTAGACACCCCCAGCTCATTTCACTTGAAGATTAGACACCCCAGCTCATTTCACTTGAAGACTACACACCCCAGCTCATTTCACTTGAAGACTAACCGCCCTAATGCTTTCTGGGAAGATTAAGTTAGGTTAGTTTGGATTAGGTTAAGTTACGTTAAGCTGTGGTGTCTAATCTTCAGGTAATCCAAAGCTACTGACAATAACTGTACTGAATGTTCTAAAACCAATTACATTTACTTTGTATTTATTTCACAATTATGATGAACAAAAATCTACTTGATAAAATTTAATGAAAAAAAATAACAGGGCAACAAAAGAGATCATGATGACAAAAAGTCCAGATGGCCCCAAAATGTTCATAATCTTGCAAAAAAAATGAAGAATTGTGGCTATTGACCTCAGTGCTTGAAAAAACGACAACACGTCACTGAGATGCGTATACAGTAGAGTGAGAGCGTGTGTAGACGTGGCTTCAAGCATGTGTAAGAGCGAACGTGGTTATGAGTGGCAGCCTGTCACCATCGCATGTGCTCGGTTTTTGTGACTACATTATGTGATGTGGCAGAAAGGTGTAGTGGATTTGAAAACCCTTAAAATACATTAAGAGTAAATCTGTCGACATGAATGCACTCTTTTAAAGCTATATTGAGTCACCAACAAGAAGTTCGTTTATTTACAAGGTGATAATCAATTGAATTTGTAAATACTCTTTGTCCAATAATCTTTCCGTGTCTAATAAGGTCCACCCTTTTTGATAATCGATCATACATTAGTTATGCAATACCCCAGCTAGTACACTCGCTGGGGTTGTGTATTGTTGTATCTCGGCACAGATAACCTGAGCTCGTGATTACTTTGAATTAGATAAGGCAAGTGGTGGGGGAAGCCTGACCACCATGACCACATAACGTAACTCAAGGATCAACTATAAGTCTTAACTGTCACTTCCATGTGAAAATTACATTAATTATGGTTCATTTATTCAACACTAAGCTGACAAATACGATCCATCATTAAATTACTGAAATGTATTTAAAAAATTCTACCAGTATGTGAACTTCATAGGAACATAGGAGGAAATAAAGCGAAGGGATATAAATATATATGAGGCGTATTTATGACTTGTCAGGTGAGGTTATGGGGTAGACCACAACACAGTCACAGGATCACTAAGTAGACAAAACAGTGAACAAATATTCACTCATACATCTGCCCCACCTGTATCTGTAACTTCCCAACGTGTTAATGATGATACTTGGTAACTTTCGTAATGTAAATTCAGTTTTCCACACAAGTGTTGCCAGTCGGTACTAAATACGCTAATGAGTGTAGGTAGTGATTACGACAAACAACCTTAAAATATTTGGTTAGAAGCAGCGGATTAAAAAAGTCCACTCAAGATTCTTCGTACACTGCTGGAGACAGCTGGCAACTCAAGGCCGCTTGTTTACTATATTACGTAGTATATAATACGAAACAGCAAACCCCTACCATTAAATTAAGCAACGGGGAAATAAGTAACCAATCAGCGATCACCTTTAAATTTATTCATAATTTTTCTACGTACTATAGTAAACAAACAGCCTTGAGTTGCCAGCTGTCTCCAGCAGTGTTCCAAGAATCTTGAACGAGACTGTTTAGTAATAACCTAATATCAGGTATAAAACAACGCAACACTTCCTTATACCGTGATTATGTATCGGGTTAACTATTGTATTCAATTAATTTACTTAAAACGAAAAGGTAAAAGTGTCTGATCTATAACACGTGTGGGTAAACTAATATTACATCTTGCTCCCAGACAGAGAATCATCACACGAGTTATGTCACAACGGAAATCCTTAAAATATTTCCTGGGATCATGTGAAGATTAGGGACCCTTCACTTCATGATTACACTCCCAACCAACTTGAGAGGAGCGTTGGGTTGGGTTAAGTTAGATTAAGTGAGGTTAAGTTAGATTAAGTGAGGTTAATATGTTAGATTAGCTTAGGTTAGCAAGTTTAATCATCTGGCGAAATAAGCTAAGGTGTTTAATCTTCACGTGATCTATTTCATTATCTTCATTATGCGTTTATCCGAGGCACATGATGTACTGTACATGGCAGAGAAGTGTGTTGATCCAAGAGATTAGTGAATCACAATGTACGTGGCAGTGTCGGTCAATGAGTCACACTGTACGTGGCAGTGTCGGTTAGGTGAGTCACACTGTACGTGGCAGTGTCAGTCACGTGAGCAGACTGTATACGTGGCAGTGTCGGTCAGGTGGGTCACACTGTACGTGGCAGTGTCGGTCAGGTGGGTCACACTGTACGTGGCAGTGTCGGTCAGGTGGGTCACACTGTACGTGGCAGTGTCGGTCAGGTGGGTCACACTGTACGTGGCAGTGTCAATAAAGTGAATCACACAGTAGTGTCAAATGAGTCACATAATGTACGCGGCCAGTAATAAAGTGGCACATATCCCTTTCCTGCTCATAAAACAAACGGGAAAAGATAAGCAGTTAATCTCCCCGCTGATGAGTGTACTTGAAGTCACAAAAAAAATGTATACTAATGTTGAAAAATGAACGCTGTAAAATGGATTCGAGGGTCGAGGATTTTTTTCTGCATCACCATAAAGTTCCCACGAAAAGTGACCTATCTCTTCACTTGGTTCAATAGAGAAAAGTGTAAATAATTCTAGTTATCAGAGCTACGAAAGCAAGCTTCTGTTTCCGTGGACTTACAGAACCTGTTCAGTGATTCATCAGTACATCACATATTCCTAAGTCACATTCGTTGTCAAACTAGCTTAATAAAAGATTGACAAAAGCTGAGTATAAGAATAACAAAGTTCAATGAGAAACACGCACTCTTAAACATACCAACCACGTTATCTCACTAACACGTTGCGGGGTAGTTGGATCCTGACAGTCTGTGGGAACTGTATGCAGCTAACAGGTGTTTCGCCACACTTGTTCACACAAGTGTTTGCCAGAATACTGTCATTTTCACCTGTATGGTAGAGGTGGAGAACACACACCACCAGCGTGAGCGTCCGGTTTTATCCTACTGGCTGGTTACCCGCCCACAAGAAATGAAACAGGGCTACCCACCCGCTCACCTTTAACATATACGTTATTGTCAGTCACAGTCTTAAATCTATATAAAAAAGATTGGTAAACAGGTCAAGCTAAAGAAAGTAATCACACTAAGTGTTTTACAGAGACCAATCAAAATAAAACCTGGCGACAACAAACAAAATATTCTCACTCCTGGCTATCGATCACCAAAACGCTGGCAACTATAATAACCATAACATTCAGTCAGCAGCAGGATATACAGCGCAGTAATACCCTTCACTTTACACCAACAAGCCTCGACACAAACTTACTTTACAATCACCACCACAACCTAACATAGTTTAACTTACACGTAAATCAACAGCACCAAACAAAACCTTGTAATACGACTAACAGCTAGGAACTGTCTGGTACAATGCTACAGTTTGTTGTTAAGTTTCAAGGCAGCCTGTTTCTTACTGGCTCATTTTGGTTAATAAAATATTGAAACTAATAATACATAGAGTAACAAACTATATCCTCCACACTCAAGGTTCAGCTGAAACGAAGATGTATACTATACCATGTATCTGTTACCCCCCCTCCACCCTCCCCTGTATCTCTACCTTACCCTCCCACCCTCCCCTGTATCTCTACCTTACCCCCCACCCTCCCCTGTATCTCTACTCCACCCCACCCTCCCCTGTATCTCTACCTTACCTCCACCCCCCCTGTATCTCTACCCACCCCCACCCTCCCCTGTATCTCACTCCACCCACCCTCCCCCTTACCCTCCCACCTTTACCCTCCCACCCTTCCCTCATGGGCATCTCCAGTATTTTTTCCAGGTGTGTGGGGGGGGGGGGAGCAAGAAAAGACCTGACATTTATTTGCACAAAACAAGTACAGTATATACTGTACATCCATATTAAAGTGCGATCAAGTATAATTGAGTTACTTTCGAGTAATGTATGATCAGCAATATCACTTATCATTGATATCACCAAATCAATAATCACTAAAATTAACAGCGTTTCAATGGTAAAATAAATCCTGCAGGCGGTGCTCGTCAGGTCCAAAACGATCAACCACTTCTTCTATGAAGGCATTTTTTCTATCTAACACCTTCTGGCAATGCACACTGAACATCCATAATCCATACAAGCGTTCAATTGACATTGTTGATCGAAGCCATGTCTTGACATGTCCCAGCGTGCAAAATGACCGCTCTACTTCACAAGTGGAGGCCGAGTGTCAAGATCAGATCAGTAGGGCTTCTCGAATAGTAAGAATAAATCATACTACTTCAGAAGATCCATCGAGGTCAAGGTTACACCACATTCAGATGCAGTGTTCTGGGAATGTTGAGACTGTCCACATTTCAAACCCGTACTGTGACTCTTCATCAAAATAATTGATGTTGTAGATATCATTCAACTGTGCCATTTTTTCCTACAATCAACAACCACTGGAACCTTTCTCACATTTCCACCACAACTTAGTTTTACAAGTGACAGGCTTGGTTGGTATACATCAATTCGATGTAAAAAAAAAATGAAGCACACTTATAACTGTAAATAATTTTCATGGCAGCAGGTGTAAATGAAATAATAAATAAATCATCCCATGTTGTCAACATTAGCACTGCCTAGTCCCCACCTGGTGCACTACAGTAGTAAGCTATGTTATATGGTGATCGCACATGGCCAAGATCACGTAATTCAACGATTAGCGGCTAATATTGGTGTTGTTACTTATCATCTGTGTTTTTTACCATACAGTGAGAGGACATCATTAACATTCACACTGTACTGGTAACTGTGAAGTGATTTTTGTTGTGTTTTATGACTGTAAAGTGCTTTGGCCAGACCATCATTCATACAGATTGTTTACATCATAGAAATGGGGGTGGTCCTAATACATCATCATTAAAACAGAATATGGTAGATAAGGGGATACCTGTATAATATATATAGGAATTATCTAACTTCATTCAATACAGTACAGTACTAGACCATTTCATTTATTAGCAATGTGATTTTTTCCACAGTCTGCCTCAGCATGCTAACACCATGATAAGAACACAATAAATCATACCTTAAACCTGGGTTCATATAATTGACAACTAAAGGAAGGTTTTAACTTTCATGATGTGTTATTTGTTCAAAAGGACTGAAAAATAACTCAATGAAGTCTGCAAAACTCAAACACCATTTTTTTAAACTTCACCCTGGAGCGGCAAATAAAACTATGGACTAAATGAAGCTGGTTAGAAAAAAGCCAGACTAGGTGCTGAGTGATCATTCCACCAGCAAAACAAAAGCATTAGGGAGGCATTGTATGAAGCATTACTATTGGTAGACCTATATCAAGCTGTGCTTCATGTCTACTGTTTGTCTGCTGTTTGATGAGACCAGTTGTGCCAAGGCCAGGCAGGTGTCACTGTCAAATGATAATGCGAAATAGCGAATCTGTGATATGCCAGAAGACATTCTTAATCAAATGGTGAGAAAAATCAAGCAGTCAGATATAGCCTCTTGTTCTCAGTTTCTGGAGTTTGTCCGACATCAAAATAAACACTCGATCGAAGAAGCACATTAGAAACAAGACATTCTCTCATAAATACTTTTAAACAATAATTTACTGTACTGTACTTACTCTTGATGTGGAGGCTGGTAATTGTGCACTTGCAAGAATGCTAATAATGCAGGTGGAGTTGCCTGAAGTAGTAGAGTCGTATGCAACCAGAGTTCTAAGCCTGCTCGACGAGTCTCCAACACTTTGGGCGTTGTGTTCCGAAGACGTTTAGGAGGAAATTCTGAAGTTGGATAGACCTTTCGCAACTGAAAAGGAGAGAGATACAATAATAAGTAAGTAGAGTTGTATCAATAGTTTGCTTTCTGTCAGTAACAATAGTAACTCATGAAAGTACAGTACAGTACTATATACAATAATTTTGGGTCAGTCATATGTACTCTAATATTAGTCGGGAGTCCTGAACACCATCTACGGTGAAAGAAGAAAAAAACCTGGGTTACATGCAATTTAATTCTCACAGTATTAAGCCATTTCTGTACCAAAATGCTGTAGACACATCAGCAACTCGGTGAAAATTACTTACAGTGGAATTAATATTTTTTTACTGATTCCACAACATACCAGAAAATGTTTATATAAACTATGCTCTTACCTGCCAGAAACACTTAGCTGGATGAATGGATGGACAGATGGAAGAACACAAAGATGGATGGTTAATAAAAACATAAAACCTGCCAATTGTAATACAGTAAGAGAATAAAGACTATAGACTGAAGTATAAAATTACATTTCATGACAAAGAAGATGAGAATCACAGACACAAAAGACCTATGAGGCAGAGATAGTGACTTGTCAGAACAGTGTCAATTCCAGCTACTGTACTATATTTGTCCAGGTAAATCATGGGTATTAAACAAAACTCCAACACTGATCCAGAAGTGCTTTCAGTAGCCAATGAGTCAACAGGTACTTATGCTAGGCTGAACTTCTCAACTCATTTTCTTGACTATATTCCTCAGTCATAAAACTCGTTTCCTTTTACTATACGTACAGTATTTTGCCGCACATCAGAAAATCCAACAAAGGAAAAGAGAGAGTTTTTAGGTTTACCGTATGTTCCTTTTAGTCAGAGAATGACACGATTTCTTATTTCAATCCTCTATATTATGGCCTACGGGTCACTTGAAGAGACAAGACTATATACAGTAACAAACAAAACTCGAGGAAAAAAACAGATAAATCAATATATTTTATTTTATTTCTTTTTGGCTGAGACAGTCAGCAGGAGATCTCATACTGCTTACTGAAACATAAGGCTCTGCAACATTCCAAAAAAATTTCATCTTTATTTCCGTGTAAATCCCTGTTTTGAATTCATATCTAAGAGCATATTAGATTCAATATAGAGAGCTGACATGCTGGCTATAGAGAACCAGTCAGCTTTGTTCCGAGCCTAATTAGCATCCTCAAGGGAATTGTAACAGCTTATTCCGTTTTTGGTAGTTGTTCCCACTACTGTACACCATGGTTTGTTCCTCAGAGTCATCTCACAACTATGGTTGATATTGCTCACTGTATAAACTTAAAAATACTTCTTGTTTAATAATTCTGCTGTAAATATCTATAAAGTACAGTACGGTACAGTATGCAGTGACTGAAATGCTGGATGAACTTTTCTATATAGTAATACTGTACTTAAATTACCATTCAGAGAACTACTATATTTGTGAGATGGTTCCTTGGATCTACAGTAATTATGCATAATGAACTATCTGGCTCATACTGTACCTCCTTGTAAAGACTGTGGAATGCGGAGTATCTTTTCTCTATCTTGTGAACACGCCCCACATAGCAAACTTCTAGGACATAGACATAATGGCTCCTGCCACCTTCGCCCTCGACCTGACGGTAGCGGGGGATGTATGCTCGTATCATTCCAGGTGTGTTCTGAAATATTTTATGATTAAAAATTAGTCCAGTTTTATACTGTCAAATATTAAAATGTTGCCTTTTAAAAAATAAGGAGTGCATAAATAGCAACTACCCGGTATATTATCTGCCTTATATTGGTAAAAAGAAAATAATTATCACAAATATTAAAAAATGAAGACTCCATGTATTAAATCTCATTCTCTGGCTGATGAAATAAATAAAGAGCCAACCAATCTCACAGGTGCACAGTGTTTAACAATTGGATACACTCGTCCTTCCTCCGTTGTGTCATGTCTTCTGACACAAAATCGTAAAGAAACTTTTTGGAGCGCGTGTACATTATCCCAATATATATTCAGATTATGTTTCCCGCTGCAAAACACAGCACACTTACGGATGGTGGCAGGTTCAGACAGAGGAGTACCTAACAATGGTAAACTTTATAGGCCCATAAATCTAGTCATTGGAATTTTATATATATTTTGTACCAAGTAACAAGTGTCTTCTCTATAGTAATGGATAAAAGCAATTTCTATACATTATCAGCATAATAACAAAGCCTAGTGTCTAATGACTCACCAGCTGAACATTGTAAATATTACACAGGAGATAAAAAACAGGATATTGCATTTGAAAACAAACAAAAAATTAAAAATTAAAATAAAATAAAAGCAAAATTAAATGTGAGTAAAGAGTCTGGGCAAGAATTATGTCGCCCAGAGCCTCACACCGACAATTCCAAACCTATAATTATTGAGTTAGCACATTAGCGGCTGTGGGAATTTTTCTAGGGTGGCTCTGAGCGATAATAATCAAAGGACCAAGCCACAACAAATGATGGTGATAAAGGCAACGGGAGTGTGGACGTGATGCGATGGACCCCACACCATACTAGACACTCTGAACTCTCACTTTCACTCTAACTGATTCTTACATATTTCTTTGTAATAAAAGTTTATGCTCATGAATAGAGCAATCTGAAATACAGTACAGTACAGTATCAGTTTGCATACTGATGTAGGCAGGATTCAGTAAGGCAGTTAGGTAGTACAATACATGTACAGTACTGTACAGCATTTGTAAAGTACAGTCAGTATCTGTTTCAAGAGCAAACCATACATTCTTATAATTATCACACCATATTTTATTTTAAACACACACGACCTCTTGGCCTTCCTCTACAGATATTAGTTTTGAATGGTGACTATAATGTACAGTGGAAACTGGTTGGGGCATAAGCTGTTAAACTGCATCTATATACTGTACTGTAGTTAAACTTTGGCCATTCTTAGAGGTCATTTATTTTTCCATGATCGGTGTGCCAGTTGCATAGCTAGCAGCAGACAACCTTAAAGGACCCCCAAAAGTGAAGTCACTCCGGAGCTGTGGTTTTGAAAGACTCTTTGGAGAAAAAAAAAAGGAAACCACATTTGTCTTTCTAGATTCATAGAGTAATGTATTAATATCCCCCCAAATTTGTACATACAGTATACAGTATTATAGTTTCTACTCATGTCAATAAGAAGCATGATAGTGACATCTGGTAACTTCCTGAGGTATGCTGCATTAATTCTTAAGCAACAACACATATTTTCTTTGTTTTACCCTCAGCCTACATACAGTACAGTTTGTGAACCTTTGTGCAACTTGTACATACACACTAAGGGTTAAGAACATTGTATGTATAAGAAAATCTAAATGGAAAATCAACTGCTAAAGCTACACAAATGAATAATAATAAATTCATGCAGAAGCCCTATGCGGCTAGATGCAATGCAAAACTTTATGCTCTTGTGCTGTACGGACTGATGCAGTAGCAACACAACGGTGGAAATAAAAACATACAAAGACGCTAAGTTCTCAGACCTTAAGACCCTTTGAAAGATCAATTAAAAAATGCTCTACAACTACAGTAGTTGCCTGGTGTTTAAGGTAACAAAGGTTTGGGGAGAGGACAGCTAACTAACAGTAAAGTGCACGGTTAATGTGACTGAGAAAGCCCAAGAGGGTGTGAGACTACTGAGAGGTGCATGCATGTGTGAGTATCCATAGCTCAGTGCTCACCTTATAAGCAAATGGCCATAAATTCTATTCTTGGCCTAAAAGGAGGATTGGGTTCCTTTCATACCCCTGTAGTCAGTAATAAAATAAGTAAACTATTGGGTGCTCCGGCCAAAAGTGTGGGGTAACCTATTACCATGTAGTGACAAAGCAACAGCTGTTATCTTGGCAAGAAAAGGTGCACAAGGAATTTTTTTTAGGAGTGTGTGTAAGCGAAGCGGAACTGGAGAGAAATTAGGCTTTAAACTGGGTAGCCTGCTGTCACTAAGCTACAGAGAACAATACTTGTCTGATTTACCTGTGACACATTGGATGTACAGTATCTAGTTCTGCCTACATGTGAATGCGACCAGGAGCTGAACCTTATCACAATGACTATACAGTACTGCGACCTAATGATTTAACTCCTACAAACTTTACCTGAAATTTAAGACATAAAGCTTGAAACATTATAAAGCATAAGACAATATATATATACACAGTGGCTATACTGCTAACTTCTATATAAAGCATATATAATACCTTATGTTAATACTACAGGTATTATTTAATCAAGGTACAGCAGTAATAAGATACAGTAATTGACATATACAAAACAGGAAATTTTTTACCTAAAACTGAAAACCTCGTCAGTTTTCCTGTACTAACTCTCAACTCATGGGAGATAGCCTTAATATGTGATAAATTAATCAAAAATGGTAAAACTATCAAGTACAGTACATACATATCACTCACTCAGGTAAATAACATCAATAAAATCAATTATCAGTTTTGGACCAGATTTTTTTTTTACTGTCACAAAATCTTAAGTTAATCCAGGTGATAAAAAGTGTAGCCATATGTTAGTTAATACTGTAGGTAGTACAATATGGGAAGCCGATATAATAGTTACAGGTAGTTTGGTTGTATTAATGACCTCCTCCTACCTTGTTAACTCTCTCACTAGAACCTCCTTTACCTCCCAAGTTACAATAACAAAATATATTATTATCACCAACTATAGAAAGGCATTAAAATACTATTAAAGTCAAATTATTATATTTTAGTATTTTATATATGTATATTACGTATATTATTTAAAGGTACATTGATAATTTTGTTGTATATTTCAGGTTTATTTTAACCATCATAGAAAATGTAATTTGTTGGAATTTAGAGGAAACTATAAAATAAATGCTCTCTGAAAGCGGGGCCTTAACAAAACTTGTAATTAATTACTTTACTTAATAATAATATGCTTGTTAACTGCAGGGGGGGATGGCCTGGGAGTCCCACCCTTCTCTTATCATCAGAAAATTCCAATACTTTTTCTTTAATACAGTATTGTACTTAGGCTTTTTTGTAAAGTAAAATATAATTACTATTAACTTCAGAATGTATTCTAATATCAAGTGCAGATGGTTTCAAATGGCCTTGAAATGCCCATGATATTGGTCAGAGTTCAAAAAATTTACCCCCCCCCCTAGCTGAGTGGGCTAGTTGTGCTCCCCATGCTCCCCCACCCATAATGTCTTGAACCCTCCCCCCTTCTGATATTCCTAGATCCGCCTCTGAGCTGGAGCTATATATTTCTATATCCAGCTTTTAATCTGTTTCTACTATGCTACTTGACGCCATAGCTGGAGGAATAATGGTTCTCTAAGACACAAAAGCTAGACCAACCCGCCTATCATATTTTGGTCTGTTCTTTGCTACGAACTTTATTTTCTAGTGCTAGTAAAGCTGTCAAGTGTTATTATAACAGGAAATATGTGATGTTTGGTATAGTCACACTTGATAACAACCTTCTGATTTCACTTGTGTGTAGGGTCCCAGTGTTTCTCAAACTGGGGGCCCTGGCAGGCTAGTGTAAGTAGTATATGTTTGGAGAAGATGTGGAAACTCTGATTCAACTTTTTTTTTGTTACTTTGCCTTGTTAGGGGAAAAAATCTTTTTTTTTTGTCATTGTGTGTAATCATAATACCCATAAGGCACAGTTTATACAGTATGGTGCAGCAGCTAGTTATTCATTTCCAACGGACTCGCTCAGATTGCACGATTCTAGTTCCTATTCAGACGAACTCCTTGATCTTAGAACGATTCTGCTGCCAGAGACCTCTATGAAGAAAAATCTTTGACTGTATTCTGATGCTCAATGTATCAGCCCCGGGCCGGTGGAAGTTGTCTGGACATACTTCCTAGCCCCCATTAGTCCCTGTTCACCTAGCAGTACAGTAGGTACCTGGTGTAAGTCGAAAGTTGCGAATTCGTATTCAGGGACAAGTTGTTGGAGCTTCCAATAACTTGATGACATAAACCATTGACTCTTTAGGCTTCTACGCCCTTGACTCATGAGACATAAAGGCAAGCAGAAGTAAAATATTTGTAATGGATATTTTATCTTACCACATCTAAAACAACTATCATTTTGTTTTATGTTTAAAATTTTTAGTCTCTGATATGTTGGTAGAGTTTCATGAATATACTGTACCTATACATGAAGCCTCTCTGGTGAGGATCCATACACAGTAATATTTTCCCAAATAAAAGACTATTTAAACAGCGGATACTTTTCTTCAACTTCTGGTTTAGTCCATGTCATTAACATATTGTATATTAGGTTAGGTTAGTTATTTATTATATTAAATTAGCGCTAATATAATGAGACGAGGGTGACGATATATTTTTCAAGCATATTTTTATATATAACAATGGTGTTTCTGTCCATTATTACTCTGGGTTAAGATTCGGAACTTCATATTTATGTTGGGAGATAGAGTAAAAACAGTTATTTTTGTTCTATTACATTTCCGTCGCAAATTTATGGTATCGAGTATTTTGGGCGGGAAAAACGGCTTGTATGAGGGACTGGCTGGGGTATGGTCCGCCAATCACCGAGAGGCTTGGTGTCACGTGACTGTGTTCCGCCAATCAGCGTTGCTCTCGGCGTCAAGATAAGAAGCTTTGGTTTTGACGGCCGCCAAGAAGGAATCTCCTCACTGTGGCTTGTGCTTCTGCTTTTCTGCGTTTAAGGGCAAAGGATGCCTGGTGTCATAGTTGATATCAAAAGCTGGGTGATTCATGGTAGTAATAAGAAGCTCTGTACATGTTCCAAGCCGAGTATAACGATCACAAGACTATACTCCACCTCTTCCTCCTACAAGTAGCACCACTTTATGCTCTACCATCTGTTAATTAAGGTAAGTCTTTTACACAACGGGGGCGAGGAGGCTAGGTCAGATCCTTCTGGTTCTTAGGTGTCGTCATTTTTTTTTGCGTGTTTTTACCCAACAATTTCCCTCTACTTCAAAGCTGTTGGTAATTAGGGGGGGGGGGGTTCATATGCGACGGAAATGAACAATAAAACCCTAATTTTACTGGTAGTTTCCGTGGTCGAACTTTTTCCGATTCTTTACCTTACTCTAAAACAAGGAAGATTTACCTCGTGCATCCAAGGATTTTTCATTTTGCCGTTAATACATAAGTAACCACCTTGTCTATGCCAGCAACCTTGAGAACTATACATGACTTCGTGGGTTTAGTTTACTCAGTGGATATTTTACCGTGACCTGCTAAGTTCCTACTAACGCTATTCTACCGTGAATGCTTATTGATTGATAAGTACTTCCCCTGGCTAGGAAGTTAGGTAAGGTAGGTTTCTTTGGTTAGTTAGGTCAGGTTCCATTGATTAGGTTGTACTAAATGTTGCCTCTTTTATAATAAATTTCCAAATACAGTCCTCGCGTTGTTCGCCGGGAATGGACGATTAGCCAATCAGCGCTTTCATGGTAAAATAGCGCTAGAAGGAACTTACCGGTTACGGGAAAATATCCTCTGCCTTTAGTTTATATTAACACGATACTGTAGGTTGTGTTAGTTCAGTTTGTATAGCTAGAAGAGCTCATGCATACGGGACTTTGGTATTATTAAATATTTCCGTTTAACGATCATTCTTTACTTAAAATGTAAGTTTTTATAAAGCACCTATCTATATATACTTTAATAATGGTTTATAGATAATTTAGTCCAATTTAAGTATTTTATACTGTACTCGTTCTATGGTGTTTATGAGTACCTCCTATGGGGCAAAGAAAAATGTAGCTCAATAAATAGTATAGTTTACCCTCATTTTACAGATGTTTTCCTTGGAAAGTTGGTCGTTCTGTCATCAAGTGGCCCTCGTTCTGGCTGTGGTAACTCCTTGAAAATAATAGTTTTAAGGGAGAGTTATACTTGCTTATTGGATGTTCCTTGCTGTAGGTTTAGCTTCAAACTTGTCATACACGAGCATTTACTATTAGATCTTGTGATTTTTTATTTATTTATTTATATTTCGTCTAGTGTACAAATATGTTAAACCCACTCAAGAATGAAAAGGTAAGAGCCTGAGAATGTTTATTGCAGCCTTGGAGACCCCAGTCACGTGGTTTAGTTCCGTGCCTTTGAGCTGTGTGTACAGACCCCAAGGCTTGCAGCTTGCATGAGGGACCGCGTGATTCTTGCAGTTCCGGGGGATGGTATCAGTAAACACACCTTATGTACTTGTAGTTACCATTGTACTGACATTTTTTACGAGAAAACAACAGGCAGTGTGGATTACCTGAAGAATTTCCACCCCAACTTATTTCACCTAAAGATTAACATGCTAACCTAACATAACCTCATCACCCAAATCAGGACTTATGGACGGATTATGTTATTTTCCACTAGTTTAATATTTAGAGACGGCCTTTTATTATTAATATTTTATTCGTGTGTGGGTGGGTGGGGTATATGTTACACTAAATATGAATAATTGCGGATTAGCGATAATTTCTCTATTTTTCTCCCTCGGAAACTTACGACTGGCCATATACGATGATGCTAATCTCCAAAATACATATAAATGAATAACTTCTCACAGAATCTTACCCAACCTAACTTAACCAAACCTTACCTAACCTATTCTACTTTAGATATAATTTGTTTAATTTATGATGGTAAACAATATCTTAGATGAAACAGCAAATTTTATCGTTTACCAATTAGTTTTCATCGTTAAGGCAATAAAACTAAAAGACTACATGGGTCTTGTTTAAGCTTGAAATATAACGTCTTTGTTGTCGGTCTTAACGATGTTTCTGATTACACTGAATATCACCACAACCTTCTATGGGAACTACGCATTACCCTATCTGATTACTGTCATGTTATTCACGACAATGGTACAGTACACGTCAGACGAGGATTGCGTATGTGTTTCTTTTGTATAGATATGACAAATCACATGTTGAATAGGGTGGAGTCTCCGGTGGCGTCCAGTGTGTTGTGGTGACGAATGGACTACGTGGCCTTTGTTCCCTGTATGGAAGCTAGTCGTTTCCCCGTCACCATCAGCTAGTCTGACCGGTTTCCTGTCCCCTCTGGTTAGGTTAGGTTAAGTTAGTGGTGTGTTGGGTTAGGGGAATCGTCCAGTAGATGACAGGGAACCGCCCGGTCAGCCCGGCTTGTATTTGAATTTTCAGATTTCACACTTATTTTCCTCCACTTAACGATAAAGGCGCCTATCAAGTTACGAATCTCAATTCAGTACAGTATTGTCACCAACTGTGCCAGCCGTCTGTGTTGCTACCAGCATGACGCGCCATGTCTACAATCTGAGAGAAATTTCAAATTACTGTGTAAGTTTTGAGACTGGGCCCTCGGGTGTCTGCTTCACGTTGCCTGAACCTCCTCCCACGCCCCACAGCACCATAGCTCACCATCTGCGTCACCCCAGGCGGTACAGCTCTGAAATGCAGCAGTAACTCCCACCGCTTTCTCCAACCACCCATTTTGATGCTTTTATACCTAGCGTTAAAAGTAATATATCATCTGCTTAATAACAGCAGAGTTTCACACTCTGGCGGCCAAAAGAAACAGTGAAAACCACGTAAATATCCTTCGAGATTGATGACGGAAGTAGTGCAGTGCCGTCAGCCTCGCCTGGCCTGGGGGCGGGTAAAGGCAGG